ACTAACTGACTCATTACTCACCTTGTCCTCCACTGCTACCTCCTGGTGGATCTTTAGTCTTATCAGAATCACAGGATGAATCACTATTACCATCTTCCACTTCCTCCTCAGTTTCCTCTTCTGATTGTTCCTCTTGCTCCTCCTCCTCTTCCTCTGACTCGTCTCCATTAGTTGATGATTTGGGTAGACGTTTCTCTCCAACAATAGCTACCAAACAGAACTCTTTACGTTGAATGGATCCATACCAACTATCAGGTTTAAACTCTCCTCCCTCAACTAATAAAAAGTGGTAAGGAAGACTGGGTGTGCTCACGGGAGCTATGGCAAACTTCAAAAATTGTGTAAGACCTGGTCGTCCCCTCAGATCAATGCAGTGCTCAATTTCTAGTCGCAATGGTTTGAGGAGAGGCTTGGATACTGAAACAGCATAAACAGCACTCACTAGTACTGTATTCTTTGGAAACACAAACTCTCCTCCTACAAGAGTGACCACTGCTACCTCAACTGTATCAGTGGGTGATAAGGTATCTTCTTGTACTCCAATCCTTAGACCATATTTCTCCCAATTAATTAGTTGAGGTTTCTCTCCTTGAACTAGAAACAGCTTCTTCTCTGCTACCTGTACATCACTCAGACAGTCCAAATTATCTATCAGTAATAATAAGACACACAGTCAGTCAGTCAGTCAATAATACTCTTACCCATTGAAGGGATGAGGTAATTAAATTGTAGTCCAATGGAACTAGTCTCTTTGATAGGTTGCTTGAGGACCCTCTCTTGTCTTTCCTTCACTAGTTTGGCTATGTACAACTCCTTTTCTTTAAGGTCTATAAATTAATAGAATATTAATAATTATTATTGATTGATGATGATACGCTAACCAGTAATGATCTGTTTCTCATTCAATGTCAGTTTGGCTATAACTTTGTCTTTCTCTGAAATGAGATTTTGATTGTCGTCCACATAATAAACATATTCTCTCATCTAATACATGCTGTGTGTATAGTTAACTAACCAATAATGATCTGTTTCTCCTTGAGATATTGTTCCTCCATATCAGCTACTTTGAGTTTCAGTTTCTCATAATCTTCTACATTAATAGAATATTCTCTAATTTAATATTATGTACTGATGATACACTAACCAGTAATAATCTGTTTCTTCTCCTCTACTTGTGTCTTCTCTTCCAATATTTCAGCAACTTTTGCTTTAAGCTTCTTATAATGTTCTATTATCAAAAATTACAAAAAAAGAAGTAAAACGATATTTAGTGCTTAAATTGCATGTATAGTAGCGCATAAATACATGTACTATGATTATTGCCGATACTATATATGGTAAGCAGAGCTCACTCTACATCAATCTCATTATTTCTAATGCATGCATGGACAATTTGACCTATATTGAGTACAGGATACTATTTCCATACTCAACATTCTCTAATCCATTAGTATTATAATGTAAACAATGTACACATAAACAACAGTACAACACAATAGTACCTAATTCAAGACTTGATTTATCCTTTTCTGCTTGCTCAAGGAGAGTGGTAGCATCATCAAGTTGCTGACTAAGTGTTGCCTTTTCTTCAAGAAGCTGTTGCTGCTCTTTGTCTCGATCTTGCTGTATCTGCTTCTTCTCTTTTATTTCTCTTTGAAGCTGTTCCTCATAGAATTCTCTTTCTCTTTCTTGTAGGTGCCCTCTGAGTAATTGAACCTCTTTGCTTAATCCTAAATTCTCCCAATCACTCAGTATCCTTCTTCTTAGTTGATCTTGATACTGGTCCAGAGGTATTACACTAGTAGACCAATCATTATCACTAGTATATCCTATACAGTAACAAAATAGTGGAGAATAAGAAATACACAAATTAATTACAGTTAGTTACTATGGTAACCTTATTATTGATGGAATTATGTTTAATCATTGCATGTGTGACCTCTGTCCGTTTACATAGTTAACCACATGAACATATTATTGTATATAAACACACTGATAATAATAATTATTTCATTCACTCTAGCTCCTATTAATATCAGTGTTTCTGTATCTGCAGTCATTATATTTCACTATTGTACATAGCAGGAATGAATTGGTAATAATTAGTATCATAGGTATACGTCAAATGCTCTCATTAAATATTTATCATAAGAATTACTTACTTTATTGTAATATTATCATTACTAATTATCATTACATATTCAATACACATTGTATCTACTACTGTCTACATGTACTTACTGAGTTCAATAACTGCTGTATCAGTGTATGATGTACCTCCTCCAAACTCAATTATCCAGTTAGTAGTTGGGGTCACACTCCATACTGAGAGAGAATGCCTAAATCTCCTAGTGACATTGTCTGGTAGATTAATCTATAAAATTTAAATGATAATAATTAATTTGTGTATGACATATTAATTGATTTGATATCTGGTTAATAAACACAATAACTAACTCACAGTTTTATTGTCTGCACATG